AACTGAAAGAGTCTACAACAGGAATATCTTCCTTTTTCTGAAACTTCTGCTTTATAGGAACCCCTGTTGCATTTTTATAGAATTCTAAAGAAACAAATTCTCAAAAATTATTTGAGATCAAATGAGATTATGGTGTTTGCCTTCTCTGAAAAGAAGGTGTAAAAAAGGAATGATGTAGATCACTTCTTTTAAAGGAGAAGAACTTTATTCATCTGTTTATTCTGTCGGCATTATATCACAGCAAAGGGGTATCTACATAACTTAAAAAATTAACTTCCAATACCGAGTACTCACAGATGGTTACATTTTCCTTTTGCTATGTATAGCGTTTAACTTTTAAATTTGAATTTTCTTTTTTCATTAACTGTAGTTACCACTAATTGATATAGGGTTTCTTTTAATTATCTCCGAATTTTAATGACCAATATTTCAGTTTTGGGGAACCACAGCATTAACCAGATATTCTAATATTTTAATAATACTTAAAACTTAATGATAACTGTTAAATTATGCCAACTAAAGAAATCTATTTGTATTCATTTATACAAAAAATATAAAATTTTGAGGTATAAACATGTTCTATTTCAAATATGTAAAATTAATTCACTTGTGTGTAATATTTAAGACTAAAAATATTTATCCACAGGCATCGTTATCTAGATTTATCATAAAAATTTTGTGTATTGTACATTTTTAAATGGAAGAAACATAATTTGCTATTATAAGAAGTGTTATTATTCCTTGTTTCATTATATGTAAATCTTATAGCACTGATTACAGTGATAATTTAACTTGTGCATTCAATAAGTTCTATTGGCATACTTAGAAACACAAAGATGGATTCCATTTCTAGCAACTGTTTTTGTTTTTTTTTTCTTTTTGGTCTTTCACTGGTACATGCTCATTTTTTTGTTACTGGATCACTTACCTACAATAGTCAAGTGAATACCATCTGGTTTTTCTAATATGCTGCAATCTATTTTCTTAAGATTCTGCTTCACCTTTTAGAGATATCTTTAAAAGTACCTTTTGTTATTTGTAAATATCAATCTAGTGTAAGCTCTTTTTTTTCATATCTTCCATAGTAAAGAAAGGATCTTTCCAAGATTTTTATTGTTTCAGTGGATCAACAAGGACCTCTGAGGTAGTTATAAAAGCCTCAGAATGAAAAGATGGGAAATAGGAGGGAGGTTCAAGAGAGAGCAGGCATATGTATACCTGTGGCTGATTTACGTTGGTGCATGGCACAAACCAGCACAATACTGTAAAGTGATTATTCTCCAATAAATTCTTTTTTTTAAAGTCAGCAAAGAAACAATGCAACATAAAAATAAATTAAGAACATTCATGAGAAAAAAAGATGACTGACAAACACTGAGCTTTAAATGTTTCTATACATGTTGTAATTAAATTTTAAAAGTTTCACTGAATTACATTAGTGTAGTACAACATAGATGATGTACATGTGCATTTTGAAAACATTTCTTTCTTGATATCATTCAAGACAGATTACAAAAGTATATGTGCATGTATATCAGTCCCTAATTTTAAAAAGGGACTTTAATGAAAGAAAAAAAGTCAAATTGATGAGAGTGAAAAAGAAACAGATTGGAAACAGAATTCATTATTCATAATGGCAAAATACAATTGCTATGTTTGTATGTTTAGTACAAACTATTCCATGTGAACTTCTTAAATGATTTTATAGTCAAATATTACTACCCATTTCACAGATTTAGGAGAGAGGTAGGGGTTGGTTATGAGTATGTGGAAGGGATATCAAGTGACTTACTGAGGATTACACAGTGGACAAGTAGAGGGCCTGGGACCAGGTAATAGTTTCTGTGTGATATAAAGCCACTGGCTCCCTATATGGATAGTGACATTTTGCACAAATGCTGATGAACATAAATCTGTCAACGAATGTCAATCTAAAAGACTCTTATATATTGTTCTAACTTCAATATGTTAAAATGCATGCATGTGTCTATATAACACATGTATATTTTGTTTTATATATAAAAACACTTGATATTTTAAACATACACACATACATACATACCCTTACAAACTAGATTCAGATGGCTTTTGATGGAACTTCACCCTTCATATATCTTTAAAAGGTCCTTCTAAATGATCTTCCTTAAAAGAAAGCTTCTGGGAAATAATACAGCATGTTATTCAGGCAGATACTACACTTAGATATGAAGTGAACATGTAATACTTAAAAAAATCTGGAACCAGTCTGTAAAACAATCTCAAAAATGTTAACGTGAAATTGTTACATAATATAGAAAAGTAAAAGAAAGTAAAATATATGTTAAGGATAGTTATATAAAATCCTGAATATTTTCTTTATAATCAGTTTAGACGCCAGTTGCAACTTTGACACTATGACTTAAAACTTATCAAAGAGATTTATGTTTTGCAACTGACATTCTAAATTGAAGATTTACTTGTACCTAATATGTTTTCTGTAATTAATTCCTTTGAGGTCAGG